TGGACGAGACAAACAGGCAGCAGGACTGGGGAGGGAGCATGTGAGTAAAAGTATGTTCACCATTTCTGGTAGGAACAGAAAGGGTGACCTGACATCCCAGGTGAGGGGTGGGGAACAGAACCAAGAGACATGACACATGCTTGAGGGATTAAGCATTAGGTTTGCTTTCAGGTCATTCCCACTAAGTGGTACTGGAACACTGTCAGCCACACAAAATCTCCACTCTCAGGGTCACTGCCTCTGGCAGAAGAGGTACCAACAGGTGCCAAAACCAAACAGTCCTTCTCCAACGTAGCATAAGGCGTACCAGAATCAACCCCCGGGCTCAGTCTCAACTTGCAGGGAGGGAGCAGAGAGTACCCCCAGAGCTGGAATCACCGTGAGGCCAAAGTTGGTTAGGAGCTGTTGGTCAGATACCATGACCTGACCGGAAAGTCCCTCAGGAAGACAGGAACAGAGAGAGAGAGAGAGAGAGAGAGAGAGAGAGACAGAGACAGAGAGAGACAGAGAGACAGGGGGAGCAGCACAAGGAAGTCTGCTTTTGGCTAGTCCTTAGCAGGGGATTTCCCCCAGTAGGAGTATCCAGCACAGTGCCAGAGGCTCACGATCACACCTTAGGCAAACTCCTGCTGGTTTGGTGCTCAGTCATACCAGGCTTGGTCCAGGAGAGGTGTCCCTTCATGTGGTCACCAGAAATGTTGCAGGCTGGTGTCAAGAGTTCTTGCTGCCATAGGCCAAAGAATTGGCTTGTAGGGCAGCGGATTGACTCATGAGATAACAAGGTCAGCACACAAAGTAGGATTTATTAGAAAGGAAAAGCTGCCCCTAAAGACAGACAGGGAGCCTGGAAAATTGGTAGCTCCCTGCAGAGGTGAAGGCTGGGGCTTTTCATGAACACTTTAACTCTGGGTTAGGGTAAGGGTTAGGTGGGTTCTTTCCATTGGCCATGGATTCACGCACACGAGCTCTGCTCGATGAGCTGGTCTGTTTACCCTTTACTGGGGGAAAACTACCTGAGAACATCCTATCTATCAACCGCATGGCAGATTTATGAGGCCATGTATCTCCTTCTCAGGGTGCAGGGCCATAGTGCTCTCCATGGGGGATGGGATACTGACTTATTCATCTGTCCCTTAGGCTCCCAGACCCAAGAGTACTGACTGCCACCAACTTTATACTAATCTAAGGCAGGTAGCCGGTTACTGTGTGTATGACTGCTCCTTCCTACTTCACAGCACTGGTGGGAGCAGTTGGGGAAATGTGAGAAATACTTGGAGCTCCCTGGGAGCGGGGAGGAAGTAGGAACTGATGAGCCTAAACTATGGATGTTCCCAATTGCAGGGCTTCTGACCACCTGAGAAAGCAGAAGAGGCTTTTGTGTTCCAGAGTGTGTGCTTCTCACTAAGAAGAGTGATTAAAAGTCCCTAAAAGGACTTGAAATTTTTAAGAAAAAGTTTGAAGGTAGAAGTCATAAAAAGTAGGGAGGTACCTTGTTGGGCCCCAGGATAAAAAATAGGACGTGCAGTTTAAATTTCATTCTTCAGGTCCTGTGCCATGCTCCCCATGTTATACATGATCAGTCCTGTTTTTCCTTCTCTTGTCAGATGCTGAGACCATGATAAGTCCTGGTGTCTCTTCCCTTCCCCTTCTCTCCAGCCAACACACCTGTGCACATAAGGATGCACCTCCACAGTACCACAGACACACTGGCCAGTGAGCATGTCCTAACCATCACAGCATTTCTATTAGTAATTCACATCTTAAATGCTCATTGTCCCCCACATTTGTCTGTTTCCCCAAACTGTAGCCTGCACCTCCACCCTTGCTCTGAGAGCTCTTTACTGAGGAGCTCAGCACATTGTCCAGTCCTGTTCTGCAGGCATCATGATATTTGACTTAGGACATTTTAACTTTTGACCACCAGGTTTAGGTACTCTGACTGGGTATTTGTGATGTGTTTTGAGTAGGTTCTATTAGTGACTGAGAAGTGGAAGATGTCTGTAAGACAGAGCCCCCCTGACATATAGCACACCAGCCAGGACCTGCCAAGAACAGTTTGTCTCTCGGTTTGTTACACCCCATTCTCCATCAGCACAAAAACAAATTGAAACTAGAGCCCCTCATATTTCCTGAAAGGGACCAAGAAGCCTGGATCAAGCACTTGTGCTTTTTTGTCTTGATTATTATCCATGTAAACGATAATACAAACAATGTGTCATAGATATTCCTCAACCTCAGCCTTATTTATCGTATTTGGCTCAGTTCCTAGAATTAGGAACAAACTCTGACCCTACCCTAGGGGCAGAGCTAACCAACTAACCACTTAAAGAAGTCTTCACTGCCTCTAGGAGAAAAAGGGCCCACACCATTGGAAAGATCATTATGCAAATCCAAATAGAAATGCATTTGGAGCTCACATCATATATAATAATTTTTTCCTGTAACTAGAGTGATTCCTTTCCTGGTATGGATTTTTATCATTTTCATTAGACCACTTCTTCAGCTGAAATACAGTTTATTATTTGTGTTAGATCCAAAAGTAAAGCTGCCACCACTATTAAACTTTCACTGGACTTGCTCAGTCTTTTCCAAATTTTACAACACGAGTGTCACCAGGGAAGAAAGATGGTAAACTTGCTGTTACAGACAGATGTTGTAATTAAGTTTAAGCAACACATTGATGTCCTTTATCCATGATGCTTGGCCTATGTTAATGGAGCTAGTACATTCTAATTTATATATAAAATTTACATACATTTTTGTTGTATATATTCTGTTCTGACAAAAACACATAATTATATAGATGTGTTTATAAAAAGTAAGAATAGCTGAATTACAAAGTTAAGATCACCTTATACCCCAAATTGAATTTTGTTAGAATGAAATGAAAACCAATTATGTGTGCAGAGAATGTTGCTAAAGTATAAAATGAACTGATCTTTGAAGATCTGCATATGATTTGTTTGGACTGTTAGTAGCAAAGAGACTAAGGGCCTGGACTTTAAGCACATTCAGATCCTTGACACCATTGCTTACTAGCTGTTATGTCTTTACCTCTGTTTCCCATGTGTTAAAATTAGCATAACAAGCTGGGTACAGTAACTCACACATATAATCCTAGCTATGTGGGAGACTGAGATCAGAAGGATCATGGTTCCAGGTAAAAAGTTCAGGAGATCCCAACTCAGCCAATAGCTGGACCTGGTAGCATGGGCCTGATGCTATAGCTATGCAAGGAAGCACAAAGAGGAAGATTTCAGTCCAGGCCAGCCTGAGCATAAAGCAAGACCCTAACTCAAAAATAGCCAGTGCTAAAGAGCTGACAGAGTGGCTTGAGTGATAGAGTGCCTGTGTAGCTAGCCCTGAGTTCAACCCCCAGCATCATCACACACACACACACACACACACACCACACACACACACACACACACACATACAATGTGTATAACAATAGACCTATTCTATAGGGTTTTCTATGGATTAAATAATAACATACTGCATATAAAGTGCTTAGTAAGTGTTAAGCATTTAATAAATTGTGATGGCTATCATTGTTATTATTATTTAAATTATTTACTCTTTAAATCCTAGTCAGTGAGAGAACTGTGTAGCTCATTTACCTTTTTTAATCCATTCAAACCAATTAGAAGAAAATAATGTCTTCTAAATACAAAATGACATATGTTTTTATTGTTTTTAATACATGAAATAATTTTAAAACCCAGAGAACCAAACTTAGAAGCTTTTTATCCAGAGAGAATTTTAGTATGTATTGTTTTTTTCTTTAAATCAGTTTATAAAATCTAACCATGCCATGTATTCTCGTTTGACTTGCATATTTTTATGCTATTAAATACTCATCGACATAATTTTTGGTGATTTCTACTCTACTCCACCCAACACTTACCTTGACTGTGCCATCTCTTCTCCACATTTTCTCTTTGTGGTGAAATTGACAGGCCAGCAGACAATAGGTGTTTCACTAATGCCAGATGTACCCATCTGAGGACAAGATGTTAGAGGGTGAACTGGAATGGAAATCTTGAAACATTTCTAGTTGTGTTTAAACCCTGATGGGGTTGAAAGCACCAGCAATGACAATGAGAACATAGTAGTGCTTTTACTTTCCACCAACTCAGCACTACGACACAATGCCAGTGCCTGGCCTCCCATGGACAGGTGCAGCCCCCAGGGAACAGCTGAGAAGACCATAACCCGGGGACATAGCGGGTGCCACTGAGATTATTCCCAGCCACCAGAGCAAGTGCTCCCTCTGTCCCTAGCAAGTTAGGGAAGACTGACATGTCTTCCAGCTCTCAAGAGACTTTTGGGCCTCTTCTGTTTGCATTTAGTGAAAGGCTTTTTTGTGACTCAAGGATCTCCTTTTTCAAAACTCTAAAGGAGATGGAAATATACATCAGAGAAGAATAAGGTTTGCATTTCAAATCACAGAAATGTAGGCTCTTTTGAAGAAACGTGTGTTTCTTCTCCATGACTCTCCGTGACTGATGCACGGCAGGGTTAGACTGGCAGTTCGAGGACCTGAATTTCCAGGCATTTCCAAAGAAGGTTTCTTGTCAGGATTTCCTAAGGCTGTCAACAGGAGTGGTTTTGGAGGTAACGAGTAGTTCTACCACAGGAATTCACTGACCCATGTGCTTCTAGTGACACGTTTAAACAGTCCACCCCAATGCTGGTTGTATATGTTTAAGTCCATGTAAATAAGTGGAAATGAACTGAAATCACCAGTGATTGGCAGAATAATATTCAGAAGATTTTTTTAAATTTTATTGCAGGAAGCTGGTTTTCCATCATCATCATCAAAACAATTTATTTAAATAATGATGCTAAAAATCCATATGTACCAGCTGAAGCAAGCAGGGAAAAGAAGGGTACAAACTGCCATGTATGCTGGAGTTATTTTAATTGTGTTACTATATTCAGCAAAATGAATGTGCTCTCTGAAACTAATGAGATTTGTGTTTTATGTTTGTAACCAGCAGAGGTAGCTGACGGTGATGAAAGACTGGACGGCATTTCTCTACCACCAACAGGTAAAACACATTTACATTTTCATCACCCGCTGGAAAATACAGCACATGAAAATATTTGCATTGAAAATGATTTTACATTAGAGATGTGGATGCTTGAGCAAGCTGCTTCTGTACCAGGCCAAAGCCCTAGCATTCAAGGCTTGTCAAGGCCCAAGGTTCAGAAAAGTTTTTCACATTGAATATAAAAAGCATGCAAAGCAGCATTTTTCTCACACTGTTTCATGTTCATAAAAATCTCAGAAATGCAAATCCTAAGAAATTAGTATCACAACACTTTGCCTTACCAAACCTTTAGATACTAAAAATACTTTAATATGAAATGAAATTTCACTTTAGACCAGGGATCGCCAGTTCTGTGTGGCCAAATTTATGTCTGTTTTGTCTTCTTTCACCTTCTCCAAAAGGCCTTTGAGAGGCAATCCATCAATGTTCTTCATACAACAGACATCCCGTAACTACTGGGCTTTAATTGTATGATTGAATAAGCCAGTTCATCCAGTGTGACACACTCCTGATATTTGAGCCAGATCAGCTGAATGCAACAGTGCATTGGAGCATTTTGCTGCACACAATTGTGTTAAGCCACAGTCATGATTCTGACTCTGAAGTAATATTTCTGATCCTGGCTTCCTGCCTAAGTATCAGTTGATGCCTGAGATCCAGAGGGACAGGTATCTGATAAATGATCTGTTTGTCAGTTTATTCACTCCCTTGGTCTCAGGACCCTTTATTGACTGCTCTCAAAAGAATATCTGAAGATTTTGTCCACAAAATACAGATACCCTAAAGAAAGCTCTAACTGAAAAAGCTCAACTAATATTTTTTCCTCTAGCTTTGGCATGGGGTAAGATTTTAATTAAATTCAATACACACTAGTGGAGTATCTAGTCTGTATAGAGGACTGTTAGTAGTGTTCCTAGTGGTCACATGTTCATTGATAGCACATATCTCAAGGAGGCTACTAAAGCAGAGTTCATAAGTGAAGGATGGGCACATGTTAACGAACTTCAGAGTAACGAGAAGACCCAGCCTCGTAAATGATGCATTGCCTTCTCTGTATGGAGTAGCTAAGCAACAGATCAATGGACAAATAACTGAAACAAGCCACATGATGCAAAAAGGATCTGCCTGCATCCGGTTTTCACCATACATAGCCATTATGTAACAGGGATTTCTCTTGTGTAGCTGTTTCCACATTTGTGAATGAAGAGAATTGAAATATGTGATCTCTGTCGTTCCTTCCCAATCCAACATTCTCTAATTATCAGGACAGTTCAGATCGGCCTTATTCTTCTGAGCCCCAGTCCATTCCCAGAAGGCGCAGAACATACTAATCATAATAACAACCTGGTGCATTTCAGGGTCCCTGGGAGGAATCTCATGCTTTTCTGTTGTGTCTCCCAGGGTGCCCCTCTCCCACTGCCCCCCGGACATCTGCACCACTTGTCCTGTATGTCATATGACACAATGGGCTTCTCTTTTATTATCTAAAGACCATGCCCCTTGAAATAAAACCTTTGCATTTAACTATCTAAAGATAGAAGCAGAGATGTCCAAATAACAAAAAAGGGCACAGGGATTACTAGAACAGTCTCACAGAACTGGGAAAATTTTCAAGGAATCTGAGAATGAGAAGGAACTTGAGAGATCATCTAGCCCAAACCTTTCTTTTTATCCAGTCCTTTTATTTTACAGGAAAAAAAGCCTGAGGCCCAGAAACATTAAATGACTCCCAAGGTCTCACAGCTGGTTGATGGCCTGACCGGAACCCAGGCCCCTGGACTCCCAGCCATTACACCATAGACCTTTCTTGTACCTAAGCCAAAGCCAGCTTTTCTGTGCATGTTTCTTAAAGATCCTATGAGATGATGGATGTACCAATCCCTTTAGGATTCCATTTCCATTCTCAGTCTTCACAGTTATAATGTTCATTGTCAGTGTACCCAAAGTTCACAGAAGTTAAAGCTCATTTAGTCAAGCCCTTTCTCAAGGTTTGCCCAAGGCTATGAGGGCATAATGAAGAAAGTTGCAGCAGAACACTCCTGCAGATCTTTTCACTAGACTACTGACAGCTATCATACAAATTACTCAACAGCATAATAAATAAGAAGCTTTAGTATTTTAGAAAAGGGGAAAAGACGTCACAGATTGGTGCTCAGATTCATAGTAATAAAATTAAATAATCTGGAGAGTCTAGCATGTGTTTTGATTGCCTCTCTGAAGTAAAACCCCAGTCTGGTGGCTTTGAATGCAATGCTAATATCCTTACATGTGTCCTAATATGAGGGTCCAAGTGGTGAATTCCATGGACTGCATCCTCTGACTCAGCCTCACTGGGCAGAACCATGGGAGCCACTGAGGGCTCTGTTAAAGACCTTCACTTTCTTATTTACCCGAGCTAGCCACATTTTGTCCTTTTTAATGATTCAACATTGCCTTTATTGCCTTTTGAGGTCTTTTTTTTCTCCTTCCAATTTTGTGGGGTAGGTGGGGAGGAATCCTTAATTGTTGCTGTGACCAGGAAGTAACCATGGTAGGGTTACAGTCAGGCAGCCAAATGAAATTTGTTTCCATCTACTGCATTTAAATAACCTCTATTTGTCTGATTTTAACAAAAATGAATACAGATTGTATAGTGAAGAAATGTTACTGTCTTGATTTACTTGATTTATTCCCACTTCATCCCATTCACTGAATCTTTTGAGCTACTCCTGACCACCAGTCTGGTGTTGGGGTCTGGTGTAAAACGCCTGCCATCAGACCAGAGTGAGAGGTGAAAATGGCTACTTAAAATGCTTCCACACAGACATGGAGAGAGTGCTGGACAAGGAAGAAAAACCTCCCAGGATTTGGGACCAATTGGCAGTTTAAAAAAAAAAAGCACAGAAATCATGAAGTAAGACAGTACTTTCTAAAATTTAAAATTGGGATTCCGAACTTGAAATAGGAAAATATACATCTGGGCTTAGCAATTTATGTTACAAATTGGCATTTTTTTACATACTTTTTTTTAAAGTGTAAGGAAAATATTTAAAATTAACATTACCTCCCCGGCTTTTTCTCTATATTTATTTTGTTTATATAATGGAGATCAAATACACAAAAGTTTTGTTTCCTGCAGTCTTGGGGTTTTATTAAGAAACATTTTTCCATATTATTACAAATTTTCATATGCATTATTAGCTGCGCAGTATTCTGTTTTCCAGGTAAATCCTGTTTTATTTAGCTCTTTTCTATTACTGGATGTTATGTGTACATACCCTGATAGTAACACATATTCCTCAGCTTTCCTTTAAAACAAAATCATTACAAGTTTCTAATTCCTGAAGTAGCTCATTTAGCACAACTAAAGCCTTGGCTAAAAACTCAGCAACTTAACTCCACAGCACAGGCACCTCCCAGCGAATGAGAGGGACTTGTCCAGAGCACCTGGCTCCAGCCATGTGGTCATATGTACAACTCCCCCATGGAGGAATGGATCCCCTTCACTGTGTGTCTCTGTTGTAGGTAACATATCTGACACCAGGGGAGAAAGCACGGAGGACAGAGAGCCAGGTTCATTACCTGGATGTCATTTTAGTGACCTTGGTCATTACCGTACCTAACTCTTCCATTTGCGTCTCTCAAAGATCCACATAGCGTTTCAGGTTCCTGCAAAGTGGGGGTGTTCTGTGAAGCTTACCTGTCATGTTTGAATAGTTCCATATTGTTCCTTCGTAATATGTGATAATCACACCTCTACTTTGGTACCAGATTTTTTTAAATTGTTTGTAGAGTTGGTTTGTTACCCTCTAAAGGGCCAGCATTAATTAATTCATTGTCCATCATAAAGAGGCCAGTCTCTCCTTGTTTTGTTCATTAATAACCTGAATTATGTGAATATACAGAGTTTTGAAACATATTTATTTTAATATAAATTGCCTAGCTGCATATAAAGGAGAATGGCTCTTTCCAGGTCTAAAACAATGGTTGTGAATGCCAAAATTAATTAGACCTTTCAAGTGTAGAAGAACAGTTGTTTTGAGAGACAGGATAGCCTGACCTATTAAACTAAATGATTTATGATGTCAGTGCACCCAGAAACAGCCATTTGGATCTGAATAAGTGCAAATGATGTATGAATTCTTAGAAAAGAAAAACCTTTGAGTTGTGACACTGTGACAAAAATAAATAAATAAAAGGCGAAAAACTCAAAGTAACCAGATACCTGCTAGATACCCAAAAAACATTTAAGCAGATGCTTTTAATGGAGTGAACTGCAGTTTTGACGTTGTGTGGTGACAGACCACAAGTGGACATGCTTAGTATTCTGTAGTTTATTTGGCTCCTAGTATACTTGCCCTCCACAGTATATAAAACCAACATAAGAAAAATCTGGATTTATTTTTAAGGAGATAGCCTGCTATGTGGGTATTTGTTTTCCAGAATTAGTTACCTCCAGATTTCTTTCTCTAACAAAATAATTGGAAATACCATTTATTTAGCAACAATACATTTCCTTCTCATTTGTTATGTAAAGGAAGTCACTTTAAAGCCTTGTTACTTGACCCAAAGGTCAAAAATTGGCATAAAAGAAATTTGACTATAGATGCACCAAACTCCAGGGTTAAAAAACAGCTACACTGATAGCAGTAGCACTGAGTTAATCTACCTGTTTGAGCCAGCCGCTACTGTCAGCCTCACCGTTCACTAGCAAGTGAGGGAACCAGGAGTGGGGTAAGTGTTGTCCAGAGCCAGGTGACTATTCAGCAGCCAGCTAGACATGGAACTCAGAGATCCTTACCTACCCTGTCCAAGGTACTGTGTCACATGCACTGAAATGCTAAACCTAGAAACGGGAAGGACAGTATTGCACCAAGACCAGCTAATAGCTGAAGGTGATGCACAATATCCCTGTAATGTGACAAAAACATGGTTTTAGATGTGGCTGTGGATGAGATGTGTTACATCTCATATATACATGTCTTTTATTTCCTTTTGAAGCTACAAGGTAGGTTCAGAGTAATTATTTCTGTCATATATTTTAGTTTGCCTTTTCCATTGCCAGCCAGTAAGCAATCCCTTTCCTGAAACCAGTCCCTTTGTTTTATCAGATGGTCTGATGAACTTTTCTGTGCAAACCAGGGCTTTTGTTTTTCTGCAGCATATGCTTTAAAAATTGTCTTCTGCCTCCCAGAATGAAATGTTCCTCGAGGGACTAGAAAAGATTAATTAGTGCCCTTTCACTCCATTAAACTGTGATTAATATGTTGCTAGTAAAGGTAGAAACATTTACTTAAAACCAGACTTCTGGTAAATATGCACCATGAACCTTCAAAAGCACTTCCTTCCTTCCAAGATTTGGTTATCACTTGGAGTTTTCAGTACTTGAGGAGTGATAGGGATTGTTCAACTCTCAGATATGTGTAGTGGATTTACAAGTTGGAAATACATATCAAAATCTGCAGCAGTAAAATCATATTTTGTAAATTAAAATTGCATTTGTGTTAACTTACTGTGACTACTGTTCAAACTTTGTTCAGAAATCCTTTTTATAGGCTTTCTTAGCAAAAAGAAATTCCATGTCAATGGATAATGTGTCTCAATCTTCTGTATATATGTTTTATTAATATGTAAATATTTAGATTTTTTTAAATTACTGTGTTCTTTAAAAAAAAGAACTCAATGCAAGGCTAGTTGTGAAGATGGTGTATAACATTGTGTTGTGATATCAACTCCCAAGATGCTCTTTATGTCCGTTCTGGAAGAATACAATAAATTACTTTAATTGAATGTGCATGTGTCCTGCCTATGCGCCAGGCTTCTTGTGTTTATGAATTCAATGCAACTCATTAATTAAAAGGTATTTATGAATACTCTGGTGATCTTCCTCAGAAGTTATATCTCCTTATGAAGTTAATTTTTAAAAATAAAACAACTGAAATTGCTACTGGCATGAGAGTCTTCAAATGCTGTGAAGTCACACACTGTCTGGCAGTCAGATCAATGGCTATAGCAAGTCCCACAGAAACACTTGAGCATTAAGTACTGAGACGCTTGAAGCCTAATTTTAAATGAATTAGGTAGCTTTATAATCTTCATCTAAAAGGTTAAGCCCTGCTTCCATGGAAACAACACATCAGAAGGGCAGATCAATCTTCTCCAATGTGAGTGGCCTCTGAAACGTGATTGCTTTATTCTCCTCTGAACACAGGAGGGCGCTGCTTCCCACTGGACACCTGCCCCCTCCTGTCTCCAAAGGGCATGTCCAGTCCCTCAGCCTCCCCTGACTCTGAGCATGCAGCACCCCCAGCATGGCTCCATTGGGGCTTTAGTCTAGGGTCTAGGGTCTATTCCAAAATGAAGGCATCTGTGAGGAGGGGTGGGTGTGGGGCAGTAGGGAGTAGCTGCTGTGCAAGATAACAGCTGGGTGGAATGGGTGGAAGCAGGAGGCAAGGCAAGTTGCTTGCAAATGGAGATATCTAAAGTACAGCCAGTCTGGATCTTCCACACACCTCCACCTTGAAGCCAGGAGACTGGCACAGTCTTCCCTCCTGACACATGCCTTCTAGCTTCACGGGTCCCCTTATGTCCATGGAATTGCTTGTTGGGGACCCAATTCACATTTTATGGCCTAAGCTTCCTGGAATACCCTTGCTTCCGTATCCTGGCAAGAACTGGTGCTTTCACAAGGGAGGGGTGAGGATAGGTAAGACACCTAAAAAATTAGCTAGCATTTGTTGCCCTCAACGCAGAGAAACTAAAGCAGATACCTTAAAAGCAACTGAGGCCAATAGGAAAAGGGGACCAGGTACTAGAGAAAAGGTGAGATCAAAAAGAATTAACCTAGAAGGTAACACCCACGCACAGGAAATCAATGTGAGTCAATGCCCTGTATAGCTATCCTTATCTCAACCAGCAAAACCTTGTTCCTTCCTATTATTGCTTGTACTCTCTCTACAACAAAATTAGAGATAAGGGCAAAATAGTTTCTGCTGGGTATTGGGGGGGGAGAGGGAGGGGGTGGAGTGGGTGGTAAGGGAGGGGGCGGGGGCAGGGGGGAGAAATGACCCAAGCCTTGTATGCACCTATGAATAATAAAAGAAAAGAAAATAAAAAGAACTGGTGCTTTATAGTTGGCGTGGCAGAAGGACCTTACCAACCTTTCTAATCTGGTGCCGGGGAGAAGGACCTAGTTTTGAGACAGAAGTCTCCACAAGAAGGGGCCTCAACACCTGCCTCCGTTTTCTTCCTCCTACAGGCTCATCCCTGCCCAGTGATGGTGGAGGAGGGGTGCTCATTTCCCAGCTGCACCTTAGCTCCACAGTCCACTGAACACCAGCTGGGTCAGCCCTTGGACAATCCAGGTTAGGATGCAAGTGAGAGAGCCAAGGCTAGGGAGGCACCTGGCACCTAACTGCACCAAGCCTCGTTCCACCCCAAGTTAGGATGGTGTGAACAGCCACTGGAGTATGTTACGTAAGAGAGCTTTGCTATTCCTGTCTTTCATTGATCTGTCTGGCTAGAATATGGAGCATTCAGCTGTTGGGAGAGCTGTGAATACATAAGAGAACATGGGAAGACAAAAACTCACACCAGAGCACAAGAGAATCAGCAGGACTCCTTGACTGCTTGGGCTGGAAGAGGGAGGGAGTGTCAAAACTAATACCTAGGGTTCTAGCTGGGTTGGTAAAGGTCTCATTTGCACTCACTAAGGTACAGAACACAGAAGAATGGTTTAGAGAAGGATGGCAGGTGAGTTCAGGTTTAGATATTCCTGCATTCATTCACTCATTCATTTCATGACTGTTTACAAACT